TGTGTGTGTGTGTGTGTGTGTGTGTGTGTGTGTGTGCATATCCATAAGATAGTCATGAGCCACAAGTAAAACCCAATGGAGTCACAGCTGCCAAAACAGATTCCAACATCTGCACCCTCACTTTCCTTTTGAATCAGGTCAGACAGGAGGTGCTTCATGACCTCCAAAAGGGGATAGTGTCTCAGCGAACTAACTCAGAGTTGAGATAGCGAACAGCAGGGGATAACATGACTAAGTTCCACTTCAAGAGAGTATGCAATCGATTTGCTGTTGTCAACGCTCGCTTCAATGACCAGCAGCAAATTGCACACACTACTGAATACTCAAAACGTCCACATCTTTGAGGTGTATTTTAGCATATACGTGAACTTTCAGGGCTATTTCGCAAAATTTCCCCGTTTCTTTTTTATTCCCTTTTTTTTAAGGATTTTTATTCTTCTTTTTTCCCTCACTTTTAACTTGAGACAACGCTCACATTTCATGAATGTGAGAAAGATTGGTCACCTTCACTCCGGGAAATACGATTCAAAATTCAAATATCACAATTGGTAGTGAGAGTGAGGTTGTTAAGCCAAGGCCCCTAAGGCTTGACCCTGCTTGAGCTGAAGAAAAGTCTCCTACAACTGCCTCAAGACATTCCAGGGAGTGCTGTGCTAAGGGGCAGTAGACCCCACTGAGCTATGTCTATGCTTAGGATTTGCAATCCAGCGGATGATATCTGACGTCGATTCTTGCCGGCTCATTGACATCGTCTGATTTCCACCAAATAATGACCCAAAAACACAGTACAGGGAAGCATGCCCCAAACCACTAGTATGAAGAATTATAGTTGCAGTCGCCCAATGAGGCAGAAACGAACAATCAAGCAGACATCAGACGGTTCAGCAAGAGACGTAATTGGCATATGGGAATACTTAGGCCTCGCTCCACTACTCTCCCGATGAGCAACATGAGACTGAATATTCCGTTAAAACATGGAAAAAGATACACCGCCATAGTTTGTCTTTTGTGCACGTGGAGAGTACTGGTGTAAGGCCCTTAGACACTGTACACGAGAAATGGAAAAGAGTTAAGAAACAAAACCGTACTACCGTCTTCACCCGAATAGAACGCCCGGTCATTATAGCTGTATTTGGCACAGCTTTCAGCCCAGATATGGCGATAAATACCGGCCGTTCTATTCGGGTGAAGACGGTAGCCTTCCAGCATATTTCTTTGTCCCTAATTATGACTCCTGGGGTGGAGAATACGTCGGCTGAAGAGCTTTCTCAAGTCCAAATCTCTGGATATGTCTCAGCGAGACAATCTCCCAGAACAAATTTGCCAAACTAAACGGTCGGACGGCGGCAATCACCGTGCGCGAAGAAGAGGGCTCCGAACCCCCTTCTTCCTTCCACCTCTCCCTCTCCTTCTTCGTTACCGGTGGGTCATCTGGATCTCGCATCCCCGCAAAAGGAGGTGGAGTCCATGGGCCTAACAATGGCTCCGGTAGGGAATTGAACACATCGACCCATATTCTCTGCTTTGTCACAGCATCCGACTTGCGATAAGCAGCCTCGAGTTGCAGTCTACTGCCCGTGTGCCTGTCTAAACCTAGGTGCTCACAGATTCGACCATAAAGGCTCTGTTGTGGGGCAGCATCCTCCACAGCAGGGTCCAGCAGGGCCTCCATACGTTCAAAGAATGGCCTTTGCGGTTCAAATCGAACATCCAGTACAGGGTTTCGCACAAAAACTATGTCTTCCGCATGCCAACCGGCGCTCTGAAGGATATCCTCTTTGTGTTTGGTTGACAGGCACCGATGAAGCTCCCATTTGTCCACCTCCTCTGGGGAAGCCTGCACTGCGATCTGACCGACGAGACGCCACACATCCCACGGCTTAAAGAACCGGGGCCGCGGCGTCTCAGAAGGTCGGCGCACAAACACAAAGAAAAATTGGATCGGCTTGTCCTCATCCATCTTTGACACTTCTTCGGTGTACTGGTATACCCTGAATCTGATATCACTCTCGACGTCCTGTTCTTCGGTCGTAGGAGTGAACAGAAAAGTAGTTTGACTACCAAAATCCCCTGGTTTAGCCTTCCCAATCACCTCCCCAGCCCAGAAATTACGCCCATACTTTTCCACTCTCTGATCCCATAAGTCTTCGATCTCTACATCCTTGAAACCTCTTACACCCTTTCTCTTCTGCCCAGCCTTATTCTCTTCTGTAGAGGAGGTGGAGGTGAAACTTCTGCCGCCTTTTCGCTTTTCCTCTCCTCCTCGCTCACTCCTAACATCACCACCTCCTTCGATCTCCTCTCCGGCAGTTGATGGGGAGGGCGCATTACCATCAAAGCCTGCAACCTCTCCATGATCTAAAGCTCTAATGATGCTGTCCACAACAGAGTCCGCAGAATTATCGCTGTAAAGAGCTTGTAGGACCTCATCTTCGCTAGGGAGACGTCGTGGCGATATGTTCCTCATGATCCCATCTTCTGCATTTGACAAAACAGCCCCTTGCTCCTCCCTGCCTTTCTTCCACTTCTCCCCCGATCTTTGCACTCCCTGCTTTGGTGCCCCTTTCCTTCCCTCATTCTGTTTACTCTTTCCTGCCCCTCTTCCACTCTCTTGCAGTGGTCTGTCCACACCTCTTTTCCCTCCTCCTCCTCCTCCTCCTCCTCCTCGTCCTCCCCCTCCTCTTCCTCCCGCAGCATCACCAGTGCTACAGTTCCACTTTGCAGCCCTTCTGTTTCGATCATTCTCATGAATTAAAAACGATCTTTCCTTCTTCCTCTCATTTCCCCTGAGTGTGGATTCTTGCCTTTCCCTTTGAAAAGGACATCGAGTCCAGCTGGACTTACATTGCCTATGCCTGATGATCGCTTCTCTAAACTCTAATCCATGATAATTCAGACCGATCTTTGACCTCAGCAAGCTTCTAGTGGTGCTGAAATTCTTCAACTGAACCGTTGCACAACTTCCTGTACGAGGCAACAAAGGCCCACATTGATTTGAAAAGGACTCTCTCCTACTGCAAGCAACAGACCCTCTGCCAAAGATGCATTCTTGGAAAAACTGCCTAGCAGCTTCTGCCGACAACATGGCCAAAAAAAAAAAAAAAGGGTCCTAGAGAAAGTGCGGCGTTCGAGAGCGAACTTCTTCGAGGTTTGCCTTTTGACCCTTCTCCTCCACAAAAATAGAACCGGCTAGTAGTACTTTGACAGGATGGTCACCTTTCAGTTAAACCAGGATGCTGCTGACATTTGTGCAAAAGAGAGTCCACGTCAGAAACCCAGACCCAGTCATCAACTAAAGAAAGATATATAACCTGGAACAGAACAACGATTAAAAAAAGCAAAAGACAGAAAGATACAGAAACGTCAATGAATCAGTGCATGGCAGAAGTGGATGAAGGGTCTCATTCCCTTGGGACCACAGATGGTCCCATCCTACACACTTCTAATACCTTTGGCCCTGTGAGATAGTTGATCCCATCTTGGCCCCAATAAAGTGATCTCTAATCCAAGGCAAAATGATAACCAATCCGCAACAAATCCTCATGTGAGAGAGAGAGAGAGAGCTAGAGAGAGAGGGAGAGGGAGGGACAGAGAGAGAGAGAGAGGGAGAGGGAGAGGGAGAGGGAGAGGGAGAGTATGCGCAAGTCAGTCGTTTCCTACTTCTTAGCACTCCACTCCTTCGAATGTCTTGAGGCAGTTGTGAGAGACTTTTCTTCAAGGGGATTGATTTCACTTGACAACTGCTCTCTCACGGCCAATTGTGATATTTGAACCAATTTTTTTTTTTTTAATTACCCTGAATGAAGGTGAGTAATATTTCTCACATCCATGGAATCTGAGCATTGTCGGTTCAAAATGGAGAGGGAAAAAAAAAAGGAAAAAAAAAAAAAAAGGAAAAAGAAACGAAAAAATGAAGGACAGAAAAAAGGAAAAATTTGCGAAATACCCCTGAAAGTTCACGTATAAGCTAAAATAACCCCCAAGATGTGGGTAGAGCGAAATTACCCTCTGGCATTTCTTTTTTCCCCTTCATTATTATGCTTTAAAAGGGCAACGCCTTGAGATACCATCATCGAACTGACCGGCCCGAGATGAGGGTAATTCAGAATTGTAAAGTATTAACTTGTATTTACAAATTTTGATCATCTTCTGAGGGTTCACCAACTCGAGTGTAGTTCGAACTCAGCGTAATTCGAAATGTCAGAGCCTCAGAGGGTTCACCAACTCGAGTGTCACAAAAAAAAAAAAAAAAAAAAGAGGGTTTACCAACTCGAGTGTAGTTCAGAAAGGAGTGTCATTCGAACTCAGGGTAGTTCGAAATGTCAGAGGGTTCACCAACTCAAGTGTAGTTTTTTTTTTTCTGTTTTTTTTAACTCGAGCGTAGTTCGAACT